GGAGCAGGCGGAAGGTGCAGCTGATTGCTCTTCTCTCGCCACAAATTACCTTCTCTACCTATTGTTATGATACACTTAAAATAAGAAAGTTTAAGTTTTTTTCCCGCATGTATAACGGGAACGATGCATCGCTCAGACGCCAGTGTTACAGGAGGATGGGGAGCAGGTTCCCCACCTCTGCGAGTAATCCAGTGCCCGTAGCAAGCATTTAAATTTAGCTTCTTAAATTTATTTCAGTTTTACTCAAATTATGTCCAGGCTGCGTACATGAGCTCCAAGCAGTTAGGTATTCGATGGTCCGCTGGCTTCTACGTTTTGTATCGACTGCTCGTACACAGTGGTACTTTTGTGCCTTTTCTCTGATGATGCAAGCAGTAGATGCAGTGTGCCGAAAACCCTGCATGCTTTTTTAAAACTGAAAATAAAATGGAATTCGATGAGTGTAAAGCGGGGAATTGTAGCGGAGTTGTCCGAGAACCCTTGGCCATCTAACGAGTCCTCGACGTGAGTGAGGCGATGGCCGTCATGAGTGGCACCCCAGCTTCTTTGGTGTCTGTGAAAAGCTCATAGTACTTAAGAGATGCTCAGCCAAGGCATGATTTTGTAAGAACCTAAGCTACCCTGACGCTGCAATGGCTACGCTTCCGTTTCCAGGAATGCCTGTCTGTGCCTGTGTGTCTTCAAGTATGTCACTTCGTCGCATTGGCCTCTTGTAGATGGTCACTGGCGTCCAACGCCGGTGTGCATGAACAGTTGTACTTCCAATTAGGCGCTTATCCTTTGTGTAGGGACTCCCCTAGCTAGATGTCTTCGCTGCTCGCCCAAGCTTAGTTCTCAATGACTCCAAGGCGAGTTCCTCCTCAATCATTGTAAATGAATGACGGCGGCCGTCCATAGACTGATCTACCAATGGGCGAGGTTGGATGGGTTCTGACTATAGGCCCGTATATTGTTTAGAATGAGCGTGTGCCTGCCGAAGCTGCACACTGTAACAGGTCCAGGAGAAACCTGGCGTACGTTTGTATAAGGCGTGCGCTAATACCGAAATGCGAGGCAACATCTCACGGGCGTGCAAGACGAAATGCTGCTCATGTTTTGCTTTATGTTTCAGAGCGCAACGTACAGTTAATANTCACGGGCGTGCAAGACGAAATGCTGCTCATGTTTTGCTTTATGTTTCAGAGCGCAACGTACAGTTAATACAGATATTATCGTTTCCCCCGTTGTGTCCTTTGCAGACTGGTGCGTGATGTATGAACGTTGCACGAGGGAAGTAAACGGCAATACACGCTATGCGCCTGGCAGAAAAAAACCAATAGGAGCGCAACACCCAAGGCGATGGAGGCTACGCGGCAAGCGCTTATGCGCCAGTTGAAAGAAAATGACAAAGAGATGGTTCTCGATGCTCAGCCAAACGAGCCCTGTAATATATAACTTCAAAACATTTGCTGTCAATTCATACCTCCACCTACAATATCGCGAGCACTCTAGCAGAGCACCCCCGGAACCTGTTGCTGGAGAAATAACAGTGTAGTTGTAGTCAGAAAAGTGGGCTTCTAACATTTCCTCTCCGTCGCAGTCGCCCTCGAATGCAGAATGGAAGCGATTAATGCAGTGGCTGCCTTTGCCGCCGTAGCCATTCTGAGAACATCGGATATTCCCGTTCAAACAATAAGTGAGCGCTTCTCCACGGGTCCCATCCCGAAGTCTTGAAGCTTAAAGGCGCAAAAGACGAGAAGAAGAGGAGCCGCTTCAGTTCTACAATTTCCGAAAGTTCTGGTCGACTTCCTGTTTTGTAAATGGATATGGCAGCCAACAAGCGATTGGTCAGGTCGATGCGGCCCTTGCCACCTTCCCGTGTGACCAGTATCCCAAGGTACTGATCGGATTTGCCGAAGCTTTCGGTGAATGCCTCCCACCACGGGGAAGAAGGCGGCGACTTCCGTAGGACCTGCAGTGCAGACACGACAGCGTCCAAAGCTAGAAAATGCTGCCCTATATTCGAAACTACATGCGCAGGGTGGTTCATCCCTCTTGTTGCCCGCGCGCGAGCGGCTGATTTAATCGCCAGCTGCTGAACATTCGTCGCAAGTAAGGCAGTGTCAGCTTGGTTCAGCTCCTTCTTGATGAGCAGCTGGCGAATCAAAAGCAAAATTTCAAGCACTGGCTCGTTCTTTGTTGACTGAAAATCCGAAGGCGACAGCCGAATGAGAGGCACCACCACTCCCTTCTGCAAAACAGGCAGGTGGACATAGGGATGCAAGGAGATCCAGTTGACATGCAGTCTACTTTTTAGTATTTCTGGTAATCCTGTTGGTGCGGCGGCCTCGTGCGCAGCATCTGCCGCTGCAGCTGCGGAGGCCGCGCCTGCACCACCTGCTGACGCTGTTGAAGAGCTCTGTCCTGCACCCCCTGATTCTGCTTCACCCGAAGGCGACTTGCATGGGGCACTGGAGCACGGCGAGCCCTGGCCTGGAGACCGCAAGTTCTGAGAAGATGCCTGGCTCTCTCCTTGCCTCTCTGCCGAACTGTCTTTCACGGGTGCATCATTCAGCCAGGAATCAGGATCTANTGGCTCTCTCCTTGCCTCTCTGCCGAACTGTCTTTCACGGGTGCATCATTCAGCCAGGAATCAGGATCTAGTGCCGGAGATGCCCCCTTTGGACCTTCTAAATAGCTTCGTTTCCTTGGGATACGCTGTGCAGTATTCTGCGGCAGCGACGCCGCAGCTTGCGAACGCAAACCAACGGACTGATGACCCACGACGCGAGGCTGGCGACCCGCACGAGACTGGGAAGATGAATCACTACGCTCGAGAATCGCAAATGCACCATGCGGGGTCACAAGGAAAGGTGACAGAACTAGCAAAGGAGGCTTGGTGCGGGAATGGACAGGCTGAGCACCACCACCAACAGGTTCGGTAGAGGAAGCTGAAGGTTCCGGCGGAGTAACTCCAGGCTGACGTTCTGAAGTAGTACTGCCAGTATGTATGCTCTGAGGGCTCCCAGCAGCAAGCTCCGTACCCGTCATATTCACTTCCCCCTGCACATTCTGGTCTTGATCGTGTATCTCCGAAATGGAAGAGGACGCCGTCAAGGGGACGATATTTGGGTGGAGTTCTTGTTGAGATTGTAGCGCCTGCTGCTCAAATACTAAGCTCTCCTGATACAAAGCCAATGCGATCCTTTTGACCTGTTCACTTTCGTCCAACTCTTCAGCTACATTGATTTCTCGTGGTAAGGACAGCCCCAGGTCCTCCTCCATAGCTACGCACTCTTCTATGAGCTGTGATAGAGAGGTATCATCATGGCTACTTTCGCTGCTGTCCGACAGCCGGCGAGTCGACGCTCCTGCCCTTCCGTTGGTGGAGGCAGAGGCGGAGGCTCTGCATATTGTCCGCAATGCAGAAATGAT